ACAAAGAACTGTTTGACATATGTTTAGGTAGGTCATTGTGGAATAGAAGAGTCTTGAAAAAAAGTTACACTTGATGGTATGGTAGTTTATAATATACCATGAACTATAAGTTGATATTTGCCACTTATCCACTTGGTCCTATGTTTAACTTACTGATTGACTAATCACTATGTGAATTACAGGTCAGAGATTCCATGTGTCCAAATAATGGCACCATTTCTATGGTATTTATATTGTGAACCATCCCAGTTACAAGAATATGCTAAACTTCGACTAGCCCTGCTAAAAGTCTTACTTCAACCCTCCGTTCTTTGTGAGAAAGAACAACCATCAGTATTGGAACAACACATACTTCAACTGTGTTGTGACATGGTTCCGTGTTTGCAGGTAAGGGCTTTCATCCTGCTTTATTAATGTTAGCATCGGCATCTGCATCAGTGTTGATTGTTATCGTCATACATAAGGTGGTTAAGAACCTAAGTATTTTGGCAAACTCAGAAACAATCCTAGCTCAAGAAATGCGTGCAATATTTTGGAGGAGATGAAAGAAACAAATCTAAATTTAACATTAATATATAGTAAGTTAACTACATTCATAGATACATGTCAACATAGTTCATCTTGGGATTAGTAGGAATGAAAACTTTCCTTCGTTAATTAAAAAAGGCTTTTTGGGGAAAAGAATTTTGAGTTGAGTCTCTCTATCCCTGTGCTAGTCATAGTCACTGTGAGAATTACAAGAAAAAATTTGTGTGCCCCTGGGCAGATATGGCCCTGGGGGTGCAGGACTTGCCAGTTGAGTGCTGGCTAGATTCTAGCTCTCACATGCTCCGTTACAACAATGTGTGGTGACCCTGATGGATCCTGCTCTTGAGAAGCCCACAGTCTAGTAAGGGAGTTAGGACAAGCATATAAATTCTTCTAATTCAAAGTAGGTGGATGAAAGTTGTTTAACAAAGGTATTGGTAAAATGTTGAGGGAGTTGAGGGGAGAGGTAAATCTGAGCAAATGTCTCTATAACTGCAGATTAAAAAAAATTCCAGTTGCCAGTGTGTTGTGATTTTAGTGGAATGATTCATTTATCAGGCCATTCCATCCCATAATTGTCATTTGCTTGGAGTCTGAGCACCATGCTGCTTAGGTGATGGAGGGAATCTACATATTTTTCAAAGTGATCACTTGAGGTCACAGATGACCTGTTTTAAGTTTGCCTTAGCAAGAAGTGACTAGAGTGAATCTTTTCCTTTGTGCCTAATAAATGCGCTTTTCCTGCAATCATGCCAGAGAAAAGTTAATGAAAATGAATTCTCCTGTGTCTTTTTCTAAAG